CTGAATTTTCTCCCTTTTTTGGAAGAAACAGTATAACTAAACAGTGTGTAAATACAGTAGTAAGGAAAAATAATGTCCATCACTGCCTCCCCCTCCCCGTCTTGGTTGGAAAATCAAATAACTCAACAAGTCACGACGATCTGAGGATCAGTGATCAGGACTTCCGACCAACAGGAGGTGGGTTTGGGCTTCACAGTTCACAACCCCTACGTTTGGGTATGGTTGACTGGTGATGGCTAATAGAATAGAAACTCGTTGATTAAAGTTCACCCGACCGCTAATGTGAGTCATCCGTCCTGCCCTGCCTGGAGTCTCGACAGAGGCCCTGACAGCCGTCGCAGCTGGTGGTGTAGGCAGATACAATTACCGGCAAAGACAAGGGAAATTGGAATGGCCATTTCTGGCTTATTAGCCGTCGTCAGTCAGCCAGTCATACCCAGTGGTGCCCCATCCTAGGTCGCGAGTTCAATCCTCGGGTGGACAGACTAGAAATGATCATTCCAATCTCCTTTTGATAATGTCACTCTGCCAATCTATTTAACATCTAAGGTGCCGCCTTGGAAGTCATGCCCAGTAATAAAAACAGCTCCGCAGAAATTCAACGCTTTACCAGCGCCTGCCTGCCTGACTTCATCCAAGGTGGGAGCACTTGCCACCACGAGAAACGGCAAATGCAGTGCACCTCATATACCTCCTAGTCCAGGTATTTTTACTCACGGAAACGGTGGTCATAGGGGTTTGGGGGGTGGGGAAATAGGAGAGACAGTTAAGGAAATTTGTACAAGTAAGTGTAAATTGGAAAATGTCGTTGAATTTTGTCCCGTGACCACTGGAAGTAAGTTGTTCCGCATATAAAGAGGTGTGTGCGGCGCTTCGCGTTGCGAACTATTCTAATCTAACTTCAGAATGGTTAGTTTTGTCTCAGGAAAGTTGAAGTTGACGACTTCTTAACCAGCATTTCTAATTTTTCAGGGATTTCAAGAAATCTGCATTTTGATAATCGGGTTTTTCGCAATATATTAAACGATAATACAGATTAGGAAAATCTACAGATATAAATCAACGACATTTCTTAATACAATAAAAAAAAAATGCATATAGCAGTTATTAAAGTATATTACTACTACTTATTATAATTCCTTAGCCTGAATGCCCCTTTAAACACTGTTTCTGTAGGACTAAATGTTGGGACTAAGAGTGTATAAGGTGCACTACGTAAACTACTATTGCCGAAAAATTAGAATGGAATGATCATTTCTAGCCTGTGATACCCAGACCCAGGCGGTGCCCCACCAGAGGATCGAACTCGCGACCCAGTTTGAGTCACCTATCACGAATTCTAGCCCAATCCCCCCCACCCCCACGTCTAATTCCCTCATAACTGCAATACAAAACACGTCAACTCTTGCCGTGCTCTCAGCGTCTCTGATGATGGCCACCCGTACGAGTCCGAAAGCTCAGACTAATAAAAGTGTTGTCCCAGTGATCACGTCTTTGTCTTGTTTGCAACGGGAACCTGGGGCTTGCATATTCACTTCTATTCGAGTATCTCACGTCTTTGTCGGTAATGTCCTTCTGCCTATATCCTAGCCGCCTTGTGGTGGAGGCTCGAGTGAGAGCTCTACTGGCAACATGGACGGGTGTGTCCTCTAACAGATCAGTGTACGCGTATCTGCTATTGTATATCTCCAACCTAATACCGGCCAGACTGCGAGCTCGTAGCTCAATGGTTAGGACGTTTGATTCTGATCAGAGAGGTCGCGAGTTCGAAACTCGAGTGTGGCAGCAATTTCAGCGGCAACGCTGGAGTTGGATATCACTAGCTGACGACGGCTTATGAGCCAGAAATGGCCATTCTAGTGTCCCGTATTTTTGTCAGTTATGTCCTTCTACAGATATGTCAATGTATAGATTGAGAAGAAGCAGAAGAAGAAGCTGCGTCGATCACCGGAATCATAGTTTTCTAAGTCTGAGCTTTCATCAGAGATAGAATTCTCAACGAAAGCAAGCAATATTTATAGGGGGAAGGTGCCAGTTAACAGTCATAGGGGCCGGAGGGAGAGACAGGACCAATTAACCTGTGCAAATCTCCTATAAGAGACGGAAACACATTGGAAACATGTGGGTGTGTCCACGGCAACCATGCGAATTCGTTAAATGAGGCAGATTTTGCAAGACAATCGAAAGGTCGGTATCATTGAACCACTGACACTTTCCTAGCCCGTCCATAGGTGTCATGCAACGTCCTGTAACGATCATTTGACGGTAGACCATAGCACTTCTGACGGCTCCTTTTTCTCAAGAACCACACGTGCTTAAACAGCGTGGAATGCCATATAACATCCCCCTGCAGAGATATAATTTAGTTACTGTGGACGCATCAGGAAAACACCCCGCGGTCCGACAACTCCTTCTCGTCATTAAATGCTACGGCAGTCAAAAATGATCATGCAAGAGTGGGAAATTCCCGCAGACATTGTGTGGGAAAAATGTGAAAAGCGCAGTTTATTACAAGCTATCGAAATGGCCACATTCAGACTAATACGCACTGCAGCACAGAACGAGGTGAGCTATGAGTTGTCATGCTATGCCATTTATATTGCATATGCACGGCCCCCATCTACTGTTCGTCAGCTCTGGAGATGG